CTCAGTCGGCCGAGTTCGCTGCCGACTGAGGATGGGGCCATCTCGCCCCGAAACGCGTCTCTAAATTAGTATACCTAGCATCAAGTGAGTTTGCGGTTTTTTATCATTTTTATAGATTTACTACTTTTTGCGAAAAATACGCTCGTTTATGGGCATTCTTAGCCATTCTGCAGCCGGATTGTTGAAACTTTAACTGGATATGTTGGCACAATAAGACAAGACATAGTCCTATCTGCGCCGTGCAATATATCGATTTTTGATTCTTGTCGTGACGACATAGATTTCAACAATGAGGCTGCTGGTTTGATATTGGTCTTTAAAGATTGGCAGTGACATTTTTCGGTTTCGAAGATGGGCTGTTCTTTTGGGTCCTAAGAGGTCCATATTTTGATGTGTTCTTACTCTGTCTCTGTAGGTGCTCTATACAGCTGAAAAAGTCTTAACTACGTGAGCAACATTTTGCATTTAAATGACGTGTATGCAAATTCTCGTCGGCATTGTCCAAAAAATCACCTCTCCGAATCAAGGCGTTTTCAGAGATCGCATTTCGACGGTACTGCACTTGCAGCAACTGCTGTTTTTTTGCATGCAGAAACATATAATGATGTTTTCAAAATATATTTTCTTTACAGCCGCAACAACAGTCGACGGCAGAATTTTGTCGTGAGGAAGTTCACTAAAAAATACAATCTAGGGCAGCCACACGCGATTAATTTTTTTTTCGTAGAAAACTGGGATTTTGTGGACACGGAACCGAGTGATCTGGCACTGTCTGGTCTGCAAGCAATGGAGAACTCAATGGATTTATTTGATGAAATACAAATGAGACTCGAAAACGGCGAGGAGTTCGAAGACGACGAGGAGGAGTTTAAATAGTTCTCCTTAAAATTGTTTTTTCTCTACAAATGTTGTATTAAGATTTAGAGAACAAAATACTTCGTGACGGAATTGAATTGTTAGAGGAGGATGATTCATCAATAAAATGAAACATTGGTTACAGATTGTACAATTCATTAAAAAACGTCATCGAACCACCCTATATCAAACGGAATTTAGGTAATTAAAAATCGTCACGGAGAAAGTTTTCCCATTGCAGTTTAGAACGTAAAAATAGAGCGTATTCCGGCTGAGGTAATCGAAAAAGACCGCATATTGTTTGAGTTACGATCTCAATCCAATGACCAAACCATGATGCATTCCGTAAAATATAGACCTTCAATAACGGAGTTGAGATTTCAGGGTGGGCCCAAAAAGGCCGTTAACGATACCCCACCTTTACCGCAAACTGTACCAAAATCAACACAATATTTGTGCTGGGTTGTGTTTCACTTCATCTATTAACCAAAAATAACACAAGAAAACAAATATTTTTATCAGTGCAGTCGCGTTTCCGCGAAGTCTCGCGGACTCCTCTTGGAGACTGCAAAAATTGTTTGTGGGATATAAAAAGGTAGGCACGGCTGGCACGGTCAATAATGCCCTTGCGGAGTTAAGGGGGAAAATGAGTCATGGAAATCCGAGCAATTGCAGAGCATAAGAGAAAAATTGCTCAAAAAACATAGAAAAACTGCAAAACAAGACTTATATCTCCTGAGAGGAGGCGGAGGAAAAAAATTCAAAAAATAAACTTACCTCCTTAAAATCTCAACTTTTGTTCACTTATATTATTTCCGAGAAAAATTCTGTCTGCCGAGAGAAGGACGAGTAAGTAAGGCTACAATTATTTCAATGCGCAGTTAGACTCAAATGGCTATTGGTTGTTTGGGTGGTGTAGGGAATGATAGGGAAAACGAGCAAATTTTCTTTCGTCAGAAAGTTTTGAGCATGATATTAAGATCACCGTGTCAAAACTGTGATGTGTAAATTTGTCATGGGAAAACATGCATTATCATGTTTTTCAGCACAAACGCCTTTTTGAACGTATATTTATTAGGAGACTTAAACGCTGCAGTAGAAAAGTAGATATTTTATTAGGACAAACATTGTCGCCTGGCGTCACACAACCACTATAAGAGACTCTCTTCCAGTCAATCTTCCTCTACTTCTACCCCCACCCAAACAACTCCTCCCCCTCCCACCCACCACCACTAGCCGTTCCTCAGATTCGCCGTCTCGTGTAGGGAAATGCAACGAAAATGTTTAAATAATTGTGCAATTAACTGCATGAAAATATACATTATTAAACCATAAATTTCACAATCTCTCCACAATAAATATGAATGTTCGAATTTTACATTGCATATATTTTGCAGGTTACTTCGTTTTTTTTTTTTGCATAAATATGAGTTATCATTAGAATTTGACAAAATTTGAATGCCAATAATTTTTCCTGACTACTTTTCAACATAAATTTCACAAATGAACCGTTCAACCTTCAGAGCGCTTCGTGCCTAAGGCGTTATGCTTTAGAAGTTACTCTAATGATTTTACATTACAGACAGTGAGCGGTTGAAAGACGCTGACTCCGCGAGTTGAGGTAAACACAGTGACACAGTGCGGTCGACTCAAACGCATATTAGCGCCTACAAGACCGCAGGAATACTTCAAGCATTGCGCGTTTACTACGGTGCGCCTTTTAGTCGTTGAAAATTTGTGATTCCTCGGACCTGTCCATCCGACACTAAGGTAGTCACCGCGGTGTAACCATGTTCGACCGATGCAAACCCCGAGCAAATTGCAGTATGTTAAATATTTACTGGTAGTTTTTTCTGGTAGTGCGTAATTGCGTATCCATGAAATTTGTACAATTTTTCCCACTTTTCCAACGTACACCTTTGATACAGCTCTAATATTGCCATGTTTGCGATTTTTTTTTTTTTTTAAAAAAAAAAAACAAAACAAAAAAAAACAAGAAGAAATTCTGAAATAGTGTCATCACTGAGTCACCAAGAGAAAAAAATTATCCTGACAATAAAATCAGATAGAGGTGTCGAAATCAGTCAAGACTCTGACTTTTTGCGAAAAACTATTGTTACTCTTACACCGTTCAAATTGCCTAATTAGACGCTATAGTTTATAGTCTATAGAATATTAAGTAAACAGAATGAACGAGTGTAAGTTTTTGCACAACTGCATAAATTAAAATTATACCATTTGATCACTGTCTATCAATAATTCTCTCCCGCATAAAATTCAGCTTGCCGACCATTTCCACAAGTTGCCTCGTTTTATGACATCTTATCAGTTAAGCAGAGCGTCATCATTTTGTTCCAGATAAACAGAATAGATATCTGTTTTTGAGCATCAGTTATCAGTCATCCACATATTTACCCACGAGAGGTTAGGAGTTTCATAGAATGTTTAATGTGTTTCTTGGATATGTGGCCTACGGCTCATGAAGGGCTCGGAGTGAATCATAGTTCGCGGATTTACAGCGTCCTTTTCCATCTCTTGGAAAAAGTTCGGATTCGGTGGCGTGTAGAGCAAAAACCATGGGTTAGAATCGTGTCCTAGATCTAAGGTTTAAATTATTTTACATGCGTTACGGTTTTGGAAATTTTTTTTGAAATTGATACTTTATACTGTGGAATTTTCGGTAGTTCTATTCATATTTTGTATGAACCATCGTAAAATTAAAAGCAAAAGAGCGTGTTAGTGAATTCCATCACGTTCCACACTCTTACAGGAATAATTGTATTTTATACATAGTTATAGATATCTGTCATGTTGGAGTACTTTTTTTCTTCCTTTATCCACTCAACATGAATTAGGTAGTTAACTATTAGAGGTGTCATCTATTACTATATTTACCACTGTTAGGACAACGATTTGTAGAATTTTTTTTTTTATTTAGTAAACTTTATTGCAAAATAAATTACAAAAGGGGGGGAACCGTCCTCTGACATAACATCCCCCCTAAAATTTCAGTTACAATAACTTTACATTGGTCTTAAAAGTATGGTCACTACAGAATTGTCTTTAGGTTGAAGTAAAATTAAATTACAGTTTTAGTTGTAAGTTCAAATAACTATTGTCTCTAAGTAATAGGTAAAAAACCCCAGAAGGGGGAAAAAAAATCCTAACAAAATGGTCTGAAGGGATTACCCTTATTGAAATATTTGTCTGATAACTGTAATGATTGAACGATTTGTAGAATGGAAACAACGACGACGACGAAATGACAAGAAAAACGTAAATCACCTATCGTACTTGCATTTCTTAGCAGAGGATTACGATAGTGATCTCAACTGGTCGCGCGGTGTTAATAAGCAACAATGGGATGCAAAAGTTTGTGCCCGACGATTCTTAATATTGCATTCCCGCAAAATCTTCCCATTCACTTTTAATTACGGGTGTCTGGTGCACCTCAGTTAGTTTACTTGACGCGTGAACAGATTTTTCCATTCCTTTTTCTCTTTATTCTCTTATACTTTCTGTAAGATTTTTGCTTTTAGTCATTCGATAGTTTTTTTTAAGCAATAGCAAAAGATGACGGCGAGACTGGGGGGCAAAATTAAGTCATTGATGGCATTCCTTGTCTGCGGATACAGACATACGACTGTGGCACTGTCAAAAACGACAATTAGCACCGGAGAAACCGAGTTCATCATCGAGCAAGCGGAGTATAGGAAAAGATACAAGGAATGGAAACCGCGCGACATCGATAAAATTTTCCGAGAACATCAAATCGTCCCTGATGTTGTTGACGACCCTCCTGTAAACATGTCTAAGGTATGAGACTATAAAAGATACTAACCCGTTTCAGAAATTCTTCGATCATGAATGGATCATAATTAATTATGTTATGAATCGAATTCACTGATATTCAAGTAGAGGGATTAATCAATGAACGGTCTGTTCCTAGAACTTACCTCTCGCCTTCAATTTCGCTACATAGGCAACAAACATACCGGAGATCGCGGCAAGTTATTTGTTTAAAAATTTAAACTTGTTTATCGCTTTACCAGCTTTGCTTGAGACGATGTTGTTTTTCTCATAGCAGGTATCGTCCAACTAGGGTTCGCCTAGCTGCAGTTTTGCTACACGGGCAACCAGACCTATCGAAGAGCACGAATAGTCATAATTTTAAAAAAATAACATTAGAAACTATTCTTGCTCCATGCATTTTGATAAGGTAATAGACCATGCGTAAGCCTGTTGGCAGATACCGTCCACTCGACGTTCATATCTTCTATTTCGCCGTATAGGCAACTAAATACCTGAGAGAACGAATAGCTATTAGCAAACTCGCAAAAATTGAACTAAATTGACATCTGATAAATATTTGTTCGCGTAATTTACGATTTGAAAAGTTCAGTCGGGAGCTTTTAATTTGTTTTTATTTGGTGTCTTGGATAGATTTATTCCACTGAAATAGCTGGTTCAATCGTTGGTAGCAAGCACAATGAATTAACCGCAATAATTACGCTAATAACCGGATTTTTCTATAAATTTTTTGTAGATTCTATTTCCGTTCAACCACTCTCCTGAATTCGGTAATGAGATGAACCTGTCCCTCCACACACACATAGACTGGGCACAGTGGCCTGGTACACTAAACGACACGTACACTTTGATCTACACAAGTAAGTAAGTATGGACAAGATACACATATTGTCGTGAGCGGTGTGATTTTATGTGCCGTATGATGCAGTGTGATTTTATGTTGCTGCGCAATGGATATACGCCTTAATTAATTTTCGCAGAGTTTTCTTCGCTTAGAGACAAAAAATCACAAAAGTATTCGAGATGATGTTTAATAGTTCTCCGTTTAAAAAATGAAGTATGACAGGAACTCTGCAACGTCAAAATCGAGATGCGTGGCCTGGTAGTTTCATCGTCGATATGCACGTTTACGAAATAATTTTGAATTGATGAATTTTATTCGCAAACGAAGATTTAATCTTGTCTCGTTCATCATAACCATTAAGAATTCTATGCTAGTTGGCAAAATAATTTTTTTATTCTAACGGTTAGTGGCGAGGCGTGAATGATCGATTTTCGATATTTCCTCATTGAGGCTATGGTAAATAATCTATTTTTAAGGTGTTCGTAGCGAACCCCCTGTTTATCGATTATTTTCCATAGGATTAAATGGCAGATGAATGATGTATCGTAAAGCATGCCACGCCACTGCTAACGTCGTCTCCTGACGTGTATTCATCCTGACTAAGTGCTCTAAGTAATTTGACAAGAAGAAAATCATTTGAAAATAAATTTTACTGATCGCATTTTCTCTTTCAAGTTCCTGACATTCCGAGTCGGGAGAGTCCAACTTCTGGAGAGTACCAAGTATGGATTGTCGGAAATATCGAGGGACCGATCTACATACAAAATGAAACGTTAACCGAATACGTTAAACCGACGCATCCGAATGGAACAGGTAATGAAAAACTAATTGATGGCATTCGAAATTACAGAAGTCATTTCCATAAAATGATTTGTTCATAAAGAAAGCGAACTCATATCAACAAAAAAATCCAAAGAAGGAAGGTAAAGAATAACTTTGAAAAGCTTAAAATAGTGCGAAATCACATCCGAGCAAATTTCGATTTCAATATTTACTGGAATGGAAACAACGTACAAATTGTTAAATTTAGATGTGTGCACAACTGTCGCACAAACATGCAAACCAGTCATTCCTTTCCATCCATGGTCTAAATGTTACGGGACACGGGAATCCCGTTAGAGCAAAATTGTAGTTTCCAAAACGCCTTCAGCTGAGGCGTGATACCGCACGCATTCCGGAGAGTTCAAATAGTTGTATCCTTGCGCCGTAGCATTGCAATGCGACGGAAGGTAAAAATCTAAGTAGCTACCCCGCTGATCTTTTCGGCTTTCCTATGCCGCCACTGCAGTTTTGACCGCATAGTTTTAAGGCTGTGGAGGCAGTATTGCGTTTAGGAAATAAATAATTTTTAAAGTAGAATTAAAAATAGAGAGGCGGTTGGAATTTAACTGCACTTATTCACATGCGTGGCCATTGTTTTATTTTATCCTTCTTTCCACGAATTCTAAAAGATTTGGGTTGGCATATGGATAACTATTTTGAACCAAGTTCAATCATTCCTGCTTTGATGGACCATGAGTCCCTCCAAGGGGGAGACAAAGGAGGAGGAGGAGGAGGAGGAGGAGAAGGAAACATAGTTATTATTGCTTTAATAATTATTATTTTAACTACGCATTTTCTTAAAAAGTCCTGTTTTTTTTTCAATGTTTGATCTCCTTCCAGAAATGTAACTTTTGGGCGATTGAACCTTTTTCTATACATGGTAAAGATTTACTTTCCAAAAAAATTGGTTTCAGAAAGTCCCGACGAGAGATGATCTGAAAACGGGCGGATCTGCTTCTTTTTTTCGACTTTTTTTTATAGCGAACACTTTGCACGGTTAAATATTTTTTAAACGACTCATGTGAGATCAATGCATTAGTTTTCCAGGACTTGATGAAAATTCTATTTCCGCGTTACTACTGTGCTTTTATGTGAAACTGAACACTTTTTATCTCCCTTAAGAAAATAATCTAATGATCTTTTTTTTCTCCTTCTTCTGAAATCGTCACTCAGATTCAGACCCTCTTTTCATTCCTTATTATTTATTTTAATTGTACTTCCATCTTACAGGTTTACATAGACACGTTTTTTTGGTGTACAAACAACCCTTTGGTAGGTTAATTAATTTTGATGAACCGTTTCTGGATGCAAATACGTAAGTCATATTCAGTAACATCTACCTACATTTTTCTGTGAAGACTTCAAATAATTAATATTTCAATACATTGTTTATGATTTTTTCAACTAATTTTATTATGAAAAAATAAATGGTTGCTCACACATTTTTAAGCGTACCCATAAAACTTATAAAATGATGCCAAAATGGCGGTATCCCGTGAGGGTTATACATCAAAATTATTAATGGAATCCTTCTTTCCATAATCGTCTCATCCTGTTATTATAGCTCAAATATTCTCAAAAGCCACCTTATGGGATAGTGTTGTAATTGATTATGTCTATACATCGTTCAAATTCTGACTATACACCAGTTGTATAAGTCTAATTGAGGAGAAATTCCTCATCCGTGAAGATCGGTATATGAACTGAATCTCGATTGACGAATGAATACCCTAAGGACAAATTTCCTAGTCTAAAATATTCCATGTTGACGCCCGTCCGTACATGGAATCGGTGAAATTCCAGGAAACGTAAGCATTCTTAACCTGAAAATTATAATCAAGTGAAAATATGATTCGTTTTTGCTTCGTTAAAATATGTAAAAAAATATTCGAGGCCAAATCTTACGGGCGGTACTCGTGTGAGATTTTATCGATATTTGTCAAATTCTTAGATGCCCAAAACTTGTTTTGTACGCCAAGTCCCAAGTCGGGTCAGATTGGCCCGTCTTTTAATACATTGATTTTTATAGTTTTTGAAGTATTATCTATTTTTTTTCTAAGTTTTTGAAGCTTGTATGTATTAAATTTTTACAGTAATATACAGAAAATTTCTGACTCCCTCAGAATTTATATTCAGGCCAATTTGACTCGGCTTGGGATTTCTAGGGGTGGTTGTCAAAGGAAAATTCCCCGACACGACAAATAACTCTCGCCAAGATACCAATTCAGGGTGCTTGAGAGACCTCCACTTTATCTGGACACATCATATCATTTTTAGTAAACGTAACCCTCAATTTTTTCAAATTTCAAAAATAAGAGACACCTCAAAGCGCGTTGATGACGGCGCAGAGATACAATTATTCGTGCTTGATGGATGTCCATGTTGCATCTGCAAAATTGAAGGCGCGATAGAGCGATGCGTGAACTCGCAATGCTCCGTGCTATGCTGCCAATGAGGTGTCGTTCGAGCTTGGGAGAAAAGTTAAAAAACGAGGCTGTCAAATATGTCTCTCCTATTTTCGGCTGTATTGACACTCGATTTTTTCCATTCTCTTTTTATACTTAACAACTGATTCTTTACCTGTCTCCGATTTAGACCGACATCTAAAGCTCGTCTATACTGGCCCCATAACTCAATCAGAGGAGATAGTCAGGTCTATTTGACTCAACTTAGGATTTTTAGGGGTAGTTGCCAAAAAAAGTCCATGCCATTCGAATTTGTTCTATTTTTTCAATTTGATGTCTGATTATTTTTTACGACATATTTATTGACCTACATTTGAAGTTCTTATGCACAGACCCAATGCAACCCGCAAAGCACGTTTTTTTCTTTCTTTTTTTTCTTTTTTTAAAGCAAACCTTGGGTCAATTTGAACTGGCTTCAGTGTCTAAGGGCTAATTCGGGTATAAAATGATTTTATTTTCAGACGATCGGATCCGAGAAGATACAATTTTTCTACGAGAGCCTTTGCGAAGAAATACGATCTTGGAAAGCCAGCGGCTGGGAACTTTTTTCTTGCTTACTAAAGAATGAAGGAAGTGATCAAGACAGAAAACTAGGACAATCTCATATGCTCCGTCACATAGAACGTCACGTAAGAACTGTACGTGTGCAATGAGATGCCGGTGTGGAATTTGATCAGCACGATTTCGTAGTTTGACTTTGCCCGAAGTGGCATTTGCCCTGATTCAATGAAGTTTTAGTTCTCACTCATTGCTGACGCTGGAGTCTTCTTGGCCATGTCTTGAAAAGACTACGTGAATTGCATGATTGAACAGCAGTGTATTGTTATAGTTTCAGATTTTCTTGAGTGATTTTAAATTGTGATGTTTGTAAGATTTTGCTCTGATCTTAATAAAATAAAGAGGTACATTAAACAGGTACATCATAATACTGCCGTGCTGAAGAAGAATGCCGTATGAACATTCGAGAGTTGTCAAATTTCCTCTGATAAAATGTTTACTTTTATATAGAGAGTTATGAATCAGTTCTTTTAACATTTTCAAATAATTTATTTATGATCGCTGATATAATTTTCCAAAAAATTCAAAGGAAACATTTTTACAAATTTCCCTGAAAATTCTTATTTTGTCGAAGGAAACTTGGCAACAGCTGAAAATCAATATTACATTCTTCTTCACCACGGCAGAATAAGGACCATATCACTTGAATATTTGATTCATCAAACCAAACGTTGAATTTGATCAAAGTGTCGGTTTGAGCCGACTAGATAGAGGAGGTTCGGTTATCTAAATCGATATTTCCTTCTACAAATCGATCAAATCTAATCAATTTGGCAGCCTTTCGTCCGTCATTCTATTGACATGACCATACCAGACAAGCTGTCTGGTCATGACGTCGATATGATGTCATTTTCGACTCCCATGATCTGACGCACTCTTTCATTACGGAACCTGGTTACGGTTCACTCATAATCTGGTATATTTAGGGCTGAAAAATGATGATAACTCATGACGACCGTCTTTATTACCTGTCTTTATTACTCATAGTCTGGTATATTTAGGGCTGAAAAATTATGATAACTTATTGACGACCGTCTTTATTACCTGTCTTTATTACTTCAAAAATGACCCTATTAAATAGATATTACTAACCCCAGTCCAAGAAAATAATGAGCAATTATTTGTTGGCCATTGAAAGGCGTGACGCGGCGTGAGAGGTAGGAGCATTACTTTCGCACCCAAATTGACCTGTGATGTGAGACAAAGTATGTTTTAAGACGAAACAGAAAACCAGATAAGTAATAATTACTTATTTCAATTATTGCAATCAATAGTTGCCTACAACCAGTGTACACTGCAATTTAGTGTCATACATTTTATATTATTTGGGAGCAAAATACACCCGAAAACGGCAACTCAAACTATGAGGATAAAAAAGCGGGGAATTTGAGAAAAGGAATGTTAAACTTTGCCAGCACTGTTACTGAACAACTACTCAATTTAAAATAAGCATAATATCATTAACATGCGAATTATGAGTTGAGACTTTGATACAATATTCTCAAGAGAATCAGAGAAAGTTATGTATTGAAAAATTAGAATTGATACTTTTTTTTATCCCAAAATGGTTTTTTTACACTCATAAATAAAAGCAGTTAAATATTTTTCTATTCTCCACTCTGAGGAAAAATCAGGTCGGTGTAAATACTCGTAACAGTGATGTAATAATTTTGGGCACATGCAGTTACGCAGTGTTCTCCACGTTTCACATACAAGTTCTCACTTATTTCTGTGTCATTGACCGACATTTCATAATTTGATCGACATGATGGTCGATTTCTCACGTAAAAGCGGCAAGGTATTGCTACATGATAATGTGCTCATGCAACTGTTTATCACATTTATCATGACAGTGATCGAGAGGAGCTCTATTCAACTGTTCCATGCTTGTTCCGGAGCAATTGTAGTACTAATTCTCGTTCAAGTGACAAGTTTTATGGTTAGAGGTGACGATGATGAAAAGTGGACGACTTTACAGCCAGAGTTCCGCGGGGCGCCGAAACCTCCTGAATTCGTGCGAAGATTATGGGGCATCTATAATTTGATTCCTTTTCCACTTGTGAAGATCCCTGAGCAAATTTTAGAGGTATTCAGCTTGGTGTTTCTTAATAAGAGAAGTGTTTAATTCACGAGAACTTGCCGGATTGTCCGACTTTCAGTATTGTTACTTAGGTGTAAAAATTTACTTAGGTTCATGACAAGGTTCGGTATCTCTTATAAAAAATTAAGTTTTCCCTTTTACAGCGGTCTCTCTCTAAAACATGAACTCAAGTGACTGGCCGATTTTCACACTATAGAGAGGTTTTCTTTATAACGATAGTCGATCAGAAAAAGACGGATGAAGTCCGACGTCAATGACTCAGTAGACTAAGGTACCATTGAGGGGTGCAAAATCTCTACGATACCTTGCCTCGATTCCGCGAAGAAAAGAGCGCAGCTTTATGGACGTGCAAAGCGTGAAGTATTCCTGCAGTCTTGTAGGCGTTTATATATGCGTCTCGTGTCAACCGCACTGTGTTAGGCGCGATTGGTTTAACTCACGGAGTCGGCGTTTTTCAACTTGTTACAAGCATCCAGTTTTTGCACACTCTTTTATAGATTTAAATATAATACGCAGCAATAGTGATGAAAATTTAGTGAAAGTATGTATGCAATTGATTTATCATCAACAGGAATAATAATCGTTTATGCTCAATTTGTTTTTTTCCCAGTGTTATCAGTGATAGAAATATGTAAGTAGTACTTTCAAAAAGGATATGAACTCGTTCAATAAGAAAATGTACAGTCGCATATTTAGAGTTCAAAAACCTCTCTCAGCAAATGTATAAATAGTCTTGAGCTTGATTTGATTGATTCATATCTGAATCTCTGATTACACTGAAAAAAAAAAAAAAAAAACACATTGGATCTAGAGTCCAGAGCTCTTAAAAACATCGACAAGAAAAAGTACTCTTGATTCAATCAGAATCTAGCTTAGATCAAGAACCAAGCCTCTTAATTTAAGCGGATTTCGTTTTGATTCAAGCAAAAATCCGATTGAATCAAGAGTATTTTTTCCTGTCAATGTTTTCAAGAGTCTGGACTCTAGATCCAATGTGTCTTTTTTTCCAGTGTATAAATTCACTTCATCTTTCTTGATATTTTTATTTCCAGATAGAATATTTGGATAGAATCGAAGTAGGCACTGGGCGCTATTTGTTTGCTCGAGATTTGCGTAGTCCGCCTACTCGCGTTGCATGGCCGAAGCAGTACGTGCGTAGTTACTATGCTCTCATCATGACAGGTAAATTTCTCAATTCAAGATATGGATCAAGTGTCGCACCTGTCTTTAATGTTGTTGTTTTAATTCATCTTTAATTGTTGCACCACTGTAGAAAAAATTCTGCAAGTATTTATTGTATCCACAGAATAGTTTATTTCAAACGTGCAGTAAAAATGAGAACGAAAATAAACAGAATACCGTAAAAATGGATCATGGATTTAGCCATATTCCTACCCAAAATTATACTTGATCAACCACAAATTTGGTCAAAGTGTTTGCAGTGTAGTAAGTAAGTGACTAAAATTTAAAGTTCACATCCACCAGAAAATTTTAAATTATACCATTTTCCCTAGCGCCATAACTGGGTGGGAATAAAATTTAATTAATTATTATTTTCCCCGTGTAGTTGTGTTCATTATAATCGCGAAGAAAAATTTTAATTTAAGAAAAAAGTCACACACATAATTACTCTTAGAGTATTAGCTTATTCGTGCTCGATTAGAGTTGGTTTGAACCAGAGTCAGACTGGCTCGCATCTAAGGGCGTAGACCCTTGGCTGATTAAAGGGGCGTAATGTGATATTTCCTGGTAGGGCATTCCCTACGTGGAGAGAGGTTCAGAAAATTTCGGCAAATCAGCACAAGTTTACGCTATTTTCAGGTTCAAAGTTTATTGATCGCTCGGAGTGAAAATTGCAAAATTGAACGTGAAGCTCAGCATTGAGAGCTCACGCTTCGCGTCATCGCGCCTTCAACTTTTCAGAAGCAGCACGGGCGTCCATAAAGTACGAATAGTTGTATCTCTGCGCCGTTGTAAACACGTATCCTTTCCCTCCCTCTTTTTCCATATTGTGTTTGTTTCCGTTTGTCTTATTCGTAATGATGCTTCAAGCACTACGTGAGTAGTACAGCCGAAGGTAGGAGAGATGTCTTCAGGCCTTTTTTAAACTTTTCTCCCGAATCAGAGCGACGCTTCACTGACAGCATAAAGCAGGGCATTGAGAGCTCACGGTTCGCGTCATCGCGCCTTCAATTTTTCAGATGCAGCACGGACGTCCATCAAGTACGAATAGTTGTATCTCTACGCCTTTGAAAAAAATTGCCACCGAAATGTATAATGCAGAGGAACTTTAAAATAGTTTAATGTGTCGTTATATTTAGAGTCTTAGCAGCGTAATATTGAACAAGGAGAAAACCAATTTAAGTAAATTATAATTATGTTTTCGAGGAAAAAAGTTTTTTACCGTATACGCTAGGTTTTATAGAAACGAGAAAGTGTACCTGCGGTACAAAATAAAAATAACTTGCCAGCTTGATTTACCGATCACATACCCATACCATAGAAATTCATATCCGATTGCTCATAAAATATCAACAGTATGTTCAAAATCTAATGATGAAAAATACATCCCGCTTTTTTGCGATGGATTTCATTGTTGAAGAAAATATGTAAATATATAGCCGTGGAAAATTTGATTTTGAAACATTAATTGTTCAGGATAGTGACGTATTTTTTACCACAGGCGGAACGACTCCCGGAGATGTAAATTTGCAACGAGAAGGTTTGCCAGGAGGTACAATCTTGGACAGCCAGTTGCAGCCACTTTCCTCTTAGCACAATTTTGGCATTATAATGGAACTTCATGAAGTTAGTTCTTCCCCGGTTTGAGACTGGGTTAAGGGTCAGAGGACAAATATGATGGGCCGAGTTCTGTGACTGCATCATTCCATTGCTGAAGAGTATGACTATTTAACTATCTCTTACCCTCTTAAACTGAAATTGAACTTTCAGTGAGTAAGTACCCTTATGAATTTTTGTAACCGAATGGATAAAAACATATGCAGTGGTGCAGTTATCGCAGTTACGGTCCGTGTATCCTGTATCCTATTATTTGGTGGTATGGACGATATGGTAGAGATTTGACGATATTCTATATGCACCTCTGAACTTTTTTGCGTGTATCCACTCAGATAGGAATGAATGCACCTCTGAACTTTTTTGCGTGTATCCACCCAGATAGGAATGAATGGGGAGAGTACTTTCCCAGAGGAGTGCGAAAAAAAAAATAGACTTCCAGCTTGAAAAGACAATGCGCGGTTAAAATGCAGATTTCTATGAGTGTGATTTCACGATAACGGGAACAGTAGTGTTGTCACTTTCATTTTCCAGTAGATTCAAGGCAATGAAACATCAATCGAAAAAGAACGTAATTGCCATTGGGAATCGTCTTATTTGCACACGTGCATGAGATTCATGGAAAAATAAGGAGAAATTTTGCTACACTACAGGACTTGTAGACCTTGATATGAGATGCGTAACCGACAGAGAAAAAAATCCCTGGCGTTTCTCGTACGTAACCGACAGAAGATTTTACGGTCTGTAAGTCTTTGTACCGATAATTTCTCATATTTTTTTGCACAAATCAATGCAGGGTCACAACTTTAAAAGCTTCCCAACCACAGTTGTATTTTTCTTCAATTAATTGTTGTACATCTTTCAAAATAAAACTAAACCGGCGACCCTAATATTCCCGTTATCGTGAAATCACCCATGAGTCCGGACTGGATAGCTTAGTTGCACTAGACGTCCTGCTAAAGTGTAATTACAGCGCAGAATGTATTTGTTGCATGTGTTGAATTAAAAATTTACTGAATTAGAGGTGAATGGCCTCTTTTGACACGAGGGGAAGATTTTTCAGTGTGTCATTTTATCAGATCAACACCTTCGTATTCAAGGGTCAACGACTTGCCGATCCATGATATTTTGATTATTAATATTAATGTATACCTATTGGTAAGCAAATCGATGCAGGTATGACCACTTGCTGCAAATGTCAGTCTCTATTGTGCTTGCTAATCAAGACTGGAAGGACGGTAGATGATATGAAATGAAGGCAGCATAAAACTTCACTAGAAAACCCTCTTTTCTTAAGTAACCGCGACTCATGCGTCTTATTGCAGTAGTGGCTGGACACCAGCCTAAATCACTTTGGCTCTCACAATACTGGCCTAATTTTTAAAGTCCGTTCTGGCTTTCGAGAAAATTGTCTTAAATAAATGTATAGATGCTCCCAGAAAATTTGTGCTTAGTTCTGGAGATATGGTAGTGTTCGAACATCCAAATGGCGTGTAAGCTTCGTGAAGCGCTGGAGGAAAAACATTTTTATATCGGAAAAAAAATATAGAACATGGACTCTTTGTAGATTTGTTCTGTTAAACTACAATAAGTCACAAGGAAAAGAAAAAAAGAAACGAAGACACTTTGTTTGTATAAGTAAACCAACTAGTAATTATTCCGAAATTTTATGTAATTTTTATGTATTTTATTCTAAATTTGAACACAATAGCCATACTTAATAATGTCAGTTCCATTGCTTCACTCGAGTTTTGTCAGGGTTTACCGAATAAAAAATATGAACAAATTCAACCGCCAGCTTTTTTTTATCATTCCCTCAGCCAAAATTATTCCCCAAATCATTGGAAGAATCCTTTTTTTTCAACAACTTCGTAATCACCAAAGCTAGTCAGGTCCGTGACCTTCGAAGGTCGCCCACATGAATTATGTAAACTTTTTGTTTCTTTCAATCGAGTGAAATCTGATTAAATGCCACGATAATCAACGCAAAGCACATTTTTTTTACCCCGGTGTAAGGGTTTGGCCCATAGCACAAATAGTCTTAGAGATTTTGCCAATATTTTCCCGAACTCTCTTCTAAAACGATTTTGCTCAAACGGGGTGTGCAGCTTACAGTTTAAAGTGCGGATAGGTAATATATATCTCAATATCAACGTAAGGGAACAATGTGAGAAGTGTATTGTGTTAAAAATGTGATACGTAAATATATGATTACAAGTTTTTAATGTAGGTACGATGTGGTAGTTGAAATTTAATTTCGCCTTTAATCGAGGCTTACTTTAACTTTCGTATTGAAGCATGGATACAAATAAAGGTAAGATAAGGGTCTCATACACGCTTGCAGACCTTCAATTGCTGGCAGCAAATAATTTGTTTAAATAGAAGCCGCTTTGTCCGCAAGGCTTAGTGATGGGGAGTAGTAAGGCACTGAATTATGGCTTAACAATACAAAATAATCAAGAACATATAATTACCATGGCCGGATTTACCTACTTACCGCCCATGGGCCGCCTGTATTTTGCCGCCCTCTTCTCATTAATTTTGAAACATCAATAAAAACCATCAAGTGAAAGTTCCGGAGGTAGAAGGGTGCATGAGACGCGTTCACTCGTGTTGGACACATTTTTTGCATAAGCTCTGTCAACACTACTAGCAAAAGTTCACGGAACTTCGCGCGAAAGTTCAGTTCCGTAAACCTATCTCTGTGAGGACAAGGCCTTTCATTTGTAAGAAGTGAACTAAAAAATTAAGAAAGAACAAACATAAATGTGGTTTAATAATTTTAACTTCCACCGCCGCGCCGCGCCGCGCTGACCACACTGTGTTTGGCGCAATGCGTGAAGTGTTCATGTAGACTTGTAGGCACTGTGCGTTTCACGCCGCGCCGACCGCTGTTGACCGTACTGTGTTTGACGCAATGCGTGAAGTATTCATGCAGTCTCGTAGGCGCTAATATGTGTTACATGCCGACCGCCGAGCGCCGCCGCGCCGAGGGCTTCTCCTTTTCATCTCAAGTCCTCGTCATCATTTCTCTCTGCGCCGCGCCGCTCCAGGCCAAATCACGTGTTTGGTTTCTCTCTTAACTCAACTAATTAAAGGTGCGCAGTCTTTTGTATCACCGAAATACGACAAAATTAGAAATCAATGAACTCTCAGGAAATGAGAGATTTTGTCACCTTTTCTTGTTTGCAATTTTATTCTGATTCCGATTTTTTTGTACCTGCATTTAAAAAATTGCAAAATTTGCCGCCCCCTAATTTTGCCGCCATGGGCTGCGGCCCATGTGGCCACTCCCTTAATCCGGCCCAGATAATTACCTACGACTTTTTTTTCAACAAATGAAATTTTGCCAGGTTTCATTTTATGTTACTATACCGATGGGCAAGGAACTAAATTTTTTTAAAATAATCGAGTAACTGTTCCCCAAAATGGGGACACCGCGAGCAAAAATGTTTATGAATGAAAAAAAAGTATTGGCCATCAGATATATCAAATACAGACTTGTTTCAAATTGGGGCTCAGAGGAAACCTCCATTTGGTACCAAAAAAAAATAGAGATAAAATTTTCATGGGGAACTTTTTTACAGATTTCAAATCGAGATCCGGTCCAATGGTTGTTGAAAATAATTTACACAACCTCTCCTTGCATACATGCATGGTTTTACTCTGGATCTCCTTTGTCCGGGCCCTCACGAATGAGGCACAACCTGAGATAAAAGACCTAAATCAGAAGAAAACTATCGAGAACCAAACAGCCTCTCCTACATTTCTACAGGAAGACGATATAACATACAAAGAGCTCCGGCAAACCCTTTTTGATAACGGTATAATCCCACACTGTGTCGACACAACTCCAAATCATACAGTCCAGGTGCGTGTTTCTTGTATTATTCTTTTGGAAATCTCAGGATATAAGTAGCGAACAAGGAATATCAATTGGACTACATTTTGCAATTCGGCAAAAAAAAAAGTATAAATTCCGGCCTGGTTTAAAAACAACGTATGTGCCATTAGTTTCCCTATACACATGCGTGTTTTTTCAGATGAGCCAGAGTTTATAGGTCCAAATTGCAAAATTCAGTCCAATTTCTTAGTGGCATCGTATACACGAATCAGCATTGCAGATCGAATCCCACTAATTTCTGTTGTGATGTATTATGATGAAAGATTTGAGCTGTACATTATTAGTCGATTGATTTTATCTTTCCAAACCATGCATTCGATAAATCGTATTTATTCTCAGGTTCTGTTCCCTGACGGATGGACCGTAAAATTAGGAAATTTAATCCCGCCGGAAAACTTGACGGACCAACCGCCAGATCTTGTAAAATGGCCGGGAGACGTAACTGAATTTTTCACTTTGATAATGGTAGGTGAGTATACTAGAGTAAAACTGAACTCTCTACATGGACAAAACATTTCTCAGCCAAAACATTTGATAAAATAAAAACTTGTCAGAAGACTGAAAAAAGAGAAAAAACAAAAACAGAGGATCAGTACAAAAAACCTGGAACGTTTCAAAATGTTACGATTCCATCATCAACCGGAGAAACCCCGGTTTATTATAAAATGGTAACATTTTGAAACGTTCCAATTTTTTTTTTTTTTTTTTTTTTTTTTTTTCAACACATTGTGTTGGAGTTCACTGCTTGTTTTTTTTTTACTTATCTTCTGTTTTTTGCAGCCTTTCCCCAAATTAAGTTGTTATTTTCTCCACGCAAAGTTTCAATGTTGTCAGTTTGAGAAACAATGAGATATTTCAATCTGAATTCTAAACGGACCTTTGACTCTCCTTCTTTCAGATAAATCATTTTGAGTCCTGGAAAATAATCAAGTAAAAATACTTTAAAGGGAAATCATTGAAATTGCATTATTAGCTATCTAAAATAATTAACACCTTAAATTTAACAATCAGTATAGAATCAGCACGTACCAATAATGAGTGGTGAATAACTCCTAAATCGTTGACTATGGAGGATTAGCAGTAACAGAGAACGACAAAGTCAACAACGTCGCACAGTGGGTCGAGTCAATGGGAGAGGTCGGACAAAATTTGAAAACTTTAAAAGCTCATAACTTCGTTTTTACAAAATTTTGAGGTCCTAAAAATGGTCCCACTGGATTTTTCGTAAAATTTCTCATAAGAATCACCCTTCAAAATTGGGAATTTGACAAAATAAACATCTAAATATGCGTTTTTAGTGAAAAAAATCATGTCCGACCTCTCTCATTGATTCGGCCTGTTGTGCGTTGTACAAAACGACAGTATGAATCTGACTATTTTTTTGTTTCATTTAAGCGGGCTTATTCTCACAATACCCACCCATTGATATTGTTTGAAGTATTTAACTTAAAATAAATCGTACTTACCAAACATTTACCAACAGAGAGGCTCAACTAATTAAAAAGTTTGAAACTTGCACGTGATATTTTATGACGGTTCCTCTTGGCTCTTAATTATAATATCCTCTTTAATCAAGAACTAGGAGCTGCGCCTCCTGACTGTTTCACGGTTCACGACCCCTAAGTGCTTTTGTGCCTCTCAGGTGTCATGCGTTACGCGTTACGCGTTACTCTCATGAATTCTGATTTTATATTACGGAGTAAGGAACAAGATTCCCAGTTCTAACACGTCCGAAATCATTCATCGTGCTAAAGTAGCGAAATAATTTGTAATTTAACAGATTTAGACGAGCCATCTAGGCTGTATCCTGATGAGCGCGAATGGCTTCATTGGATGATCGTCAACATTCCTGGATGGACGATACAACTGGGCGAGCTCAAATGTAGATACGTTCCTCCCCAGCCCCAAGAGGAGAGTGGTGAGTGAAGCAGTAATAAATATGTATATGCTGTATATAACGACGGTCTAAGAACGAAAACACGTCTACACCATCTGTTTAATTTTTTTTTTTTTTTATGAGAAAAGTATTTGAAATTTTAGGACAAAAGTTTATGAAAATATTCTTGAAACGGTTGGTAAACTCCTGATAAAATCAAATTTTAACCAACATCTGCGACATCAGAAATCTCTGTGCGTGCTTTTGTAGTTATATCATTGGTTTATTTGTAGCCCAAAACCTTGAAAAATGTCAGAAAACTTATGTATGTATGTAAAATACTTCCCGAAACTACTGACATAAACTTTAGAAGTGTTTGTTCTTGTTCCTTTATCAAAAATTGGTATTTGTAATTACCGATCTTCGCTCTCTGCGATCCTTCAATTATTCATCTCTTCCTGTTACAATTCTTACAAGTTACACTTAGCCGCTGTTATACTACTCGTACCTCGTCGAAAGATCGCGAGGCGAAGGCCTACGAAATGAAAACAAAGACTTCTTGAAAGTTCCTTTTTTGTTTGATATAATTATTAGCGATGACATGTGTCGCTCCCGTAGGTCATTGTAGTTAGCGTTAGGTCCTCTGTAATGTTCAATCTTTTTAGAGAATTGAAATATCCTCTCTGTTATTCAGGGACACACAGATACGTGTTCACCGTTTACAAGCAACCGGAGAAACTAGAATTTACTGATGTCAAGCTAATTAATGGAACTAAGTAAGTATAACTTATATTCTCATTATTTGGGAAGTGTAGCATCGTTTTCTCTTATTTGTGAAATAGTAGACATTACCTCTACAGAGACGATTGGCATGAGTAAATTAGAAGAAAAAATCATCATCCTTGAGGGAAAGTATGATAATTGCACTTTTAGAGGCTACTTTTTCTTTTTCTTGCCTTCACTTTTTTTCTTTTAATTTATTATTCCGGGCCAACTTTTTTTACCTGACGTTGCAAAATTTTGCCTACTAGTTTTCAGAACTCTACCGTCAACAATTTTTAGAATGAAAGCTTTATCTGCAAATTTGTCAGTGCTGAAAACACACAAAGAAAATCGTTGTATAATCGTTCATCACTGGTTCAGAATATTTAAATTTTGATGTCTATAACTAAACAAAATTCACTTGGTCTATCATCAGAAAAGCGACCCCTTTCGAGTTGAGACAAAACTAAAACAAAAAAATAGGTTGAAATTTTTTTATTGGAAATTGGACGTATTTATGCTAAAAGGACCTATGTTTTACGCAAATTTTATGCACATAGTTCCTTTTAGCATAAATGCGTCCAATTTTAACCCTAATTTTCACTAATTAATAATGATTTTTTGGATTTTGAATTTTTGACAACGGATAAAGGGCCATTAGTTGACTTCAAGACCACTTTAGACCCAATTTTCCCCCAAAAATAGTTAGTGTAATAACAATGGTTCTCCCTGCTTTACACAGTACATTTGTTGTGCTGATGTACCAGCTAAGCATGAATCGATGATTGTTCGGGAACTGAGCTGTAAAAAAGGATTAGGCCCACCCATTAAACACATTGATTTTCGTACCCCCCCTTCCCAAAAAAAAAAAAAACTAGGATTTTATTGAGATTCTCAATTTAGCATGTCTAATCGTATACTTTTCCAATGTGCCGAAGATGCATTGCATCACGCATGGATTCATCACACGATATTTTCATAAATTTAAACTACTTTTCAACTTTCATAACAAATGTCATTAATTTACAGCCACAATGACCTGGCGCGAGGACACTTTTCCACAAGAATGTTTTCAAAGGAACACGACCTAGGAGATCCGTGGGCCATCAATTTCTTTCAAGCCCGACACTTTATACCACCAAGGCAAACTTTTGCGTAGTTATGGTCAACAGGGAGTACTTATAGTTTAGTGCAAATGAATGACACACATTTTCCCATCACATTTCCATGAAAATGCTACAGAGTTCCAGAGTATATTTAGTGTGATCCTGTTCACCGTAATTTCTAGAGTGGGACTGTCAGCCATACTTTGGAATGGGGTTGTGACAAGTGATGAGGCGTGATAATCGACTATCGATATTATCCCATTTGAAGCTATGGTAAAGAATCGAATATTTTGTTGCTCGTTGCGAACGCCGTGATAATCGATCTTTTTCCATAAGTTTGGATGGCATATTAATCGCTACATCGCAAAGAACGCCACTCTACTGGTGACGTGGTCACTACTGATTAAAATGAATTGAACTATCAGATGTGTTCACGAAAATGAACCTTTTTACAACAGATTCTCAAGGAATGAAATCTCTCTGCGTGAATGCATCGCATTTCGTCACCCCTCTAACGTAAGGGCGCATTTGGATTTCCACGTGAGCCCTGTTTTACATATTGATCTATGCTTTCTGGGGCTCATACGGAGATCGAAATATGCTCTTACGCCAGAGGAGCGATGCTTTTAGCATCAGTATCGTGAGGACGGAGAAAATCGCCAATAAGTTCAATGGGACCTAGAAAAATATTCGTGAAAAGACACATAGACAACCCTTGCACATGGGAGCGTCTGTTAACAATGCTGTGAACTTTGCACTTTGCCGTGAGCATAATTAGCACCAGTGTGCCATCAATCTTGTGCGATGCTACGCGGATAACCTATGGCCAGTAAGTGACGAGAGAAAAAAACAACACTATTAATCTGGCTCGAACACTATATGTAAATAAAATGAGGAAAAAGTCCTGGTTACACACTTCTCTGAGGGACATTCAAGTTGATAACTTCAATAAAAAAGAAGTAGGATTACACCCTACTGAGAGGATCTAAGTATCCTCTCAGTAGGGATTACACCTTACTGAGAGGATTGTGGATCTGCAACAAAGTATTGACCTATCCCCCGGAATGCTCTCCCACCGAAGTCTGGTACTGATGCTCACTTGAGTTTATTTTGCATAACACTAATACAAATGTATGGTCTTCCTGCTTTGATTTTCCCTCAAAATAATGTGACCCCAGCAATTTTACCATTCTGACAATTTAGCGAGGAAAGTCGCTTAGTCAAGGTGTACAATCATTCTGGAAGGAATAATATTACAAAATATTCCATCCCTTCTTCATTTTAAATGATCTATTATTGTGCTTCCAAACTCTCATAGGGCGATGAGCAGTTTTATTTTTCCCACATGCTTGGTGCTATAAACTCTGCGAAACTGTCCCTAGCCACTATATTTTCTTGTTAATTTGTCTTGGAAAACACTGTATCCACATAAGCAGTCAGACAGTTCCATACTAAAGAGTTCTATATCCAACCTGTCAAATAGAAGTTCACATTTTCTTCTATAGTTCCAATTCTAATTTCAGCCTCTAGAAAGTAAATTATCTTCGGTCGAATGAATGCACAGACTTCGGCGTTTTTTATGCTTGGTTTATTGTCATCTTTGAAAATTATTTTAATAAGCTTACATGAGCCACGTATCAGAGAAACAGGGGAGTTTCGCGTGCATTTCACCCCCAAATGATTCTTTGATTGTAGGCATGAAATTATAAATCTACTTCATTTTAAAGTGCACTGGAAGCAGTTTGCAAATAGAAGTTCTGGCAATAAATGAAAATGGAACAATCCGCCTGCGTTTATAAATTTAATATTTTGAAAATGTTTGGTAAGACTATTTTCCCCATTTGAAATTTTGTTGGAGGTTAAAGGATCTTGTGGTGCTTTAATTCTCACCTTGTTCTTTGTGAAAAACGATGACTTCAGATGGTAAACACCGTATGTTGTTTGGATACTTAAGGTTTTTTCTTGTGTTGTTTGAGTACGTAAAGTTTTTACTGAAATCCTTAGGTACTCAAACAAGACAAGGCTCATCCTAATATCATACTTGCGTTCGTGCGAGTTTTGTGGAATTTAAGCAGAAGTTCTGTATTAAGGAAATACGGAAGATGCCAATTATTGGTTTCCAGGAGAAATTGCCTTAACTTGCGCGAAAAAATTGCGCGAAACTTAATGTTGAAAATTTTGTATACATTTCAATGTTATGGTTTGAATGTATGTTTAACTTTATTATTTAACGTAATTTCTTTAATAAAAATTCACTTTTGACGTTTGTATGTGTATTTTAATTAGAAGTATAAACGATGTTATGGACAAAGATGCACGAATAGCTAATATCACAATGAGAAGATGACACTCATATATTCATAGTTCAATGATGACACTAAGTACATTTATGAAGGGAGAGATAAGTTTAGAGATTTGGAGTTTTGTAATTATGTAATATATGCGACTACTCCTTCCGTTCATTCCTATTGTAAGTCTGAGACGGCGCCTCAAAGTGACTGGTATTAATTCATATTTCTGATAAAAAAAAGAATAAGAAAAAGTGGTTTTAAATATATTATGAACATTGCAAGTAAAGAATGATTGCGTAGATTCTAGATCTATCTTAAAAATGTGTAAAATAAAAATCAGCTCTCAAAAAATTGTAGAGGCGCTTCAGAGACTCTAATCTAAGTGTGTCTCTGGGAATACTAATAAACTCCTGTGATAGGTAAATTGCCTCTCCCTCTTTCCAGAAAAATTGCCCCATGCGGCTACGCTTATGAGTACCGTGACTAAATGCCAGCTCAATATTCTAAACAATTCTCATGTAAACTTCGTGGGATATGATTGATTCATTTGATAATTCAGAGATCAAATTTCGATAGTGGGCAAATAAGTCATATTGCGTGTAGATTGAGGCTCATCTTCTATAGAGGTGGCTCGGTTTTGAAAGTTAACTCACCGACCCGACACTTTGCTTTCACTGCAATACTGATTTACCCCTTGAGTTTTGTCCTATTCATAAATCTAAATTATTATGTCCGTAGCAGAAAGATTCAGCACTTCTAGTAGATCCTACATTGAACCGGTTTTATGTTCATCAGCCACTATGTGAAATCAATCAAAGGTGACCAATCCTTCAAGAATGATACAAGGTAAATTACCTTTGAGTGAGATTTTAATCTCTATGATTTAGCAGTGTGAGTTTCTGAAAAATTAAATTTCTTGCTAAAAATGTTTGCGCTCGGCACGTATTGTAGTCGGATATAGATTCATTGAATTATAGACCCTCTGGAAAATTACTATATTGCTATTTCTTCATTTTTAATTTTCTATAGGTTGAGAGGAAGGAAGTCTTTCTAACATTCAATGCTATCGCAAAAGTGACAACGAGTTGTCTTTAGTATTGAGGCAAAATGTTCATTTTGTTGTCCGTCTCTGATGGTTACCTATCAGCCCAACTGCAATTTTGCCATGCTAAGGAAAAAAACCGTAAGGACATTCGAGAGTTGCCAAATTTCTCCGAATAAAACTCGTATTTTTGAAGAAAATTAAGCTTATTTTCCCTTGAAATTTAAGCATATTTTAGATTAAATTCCGGACAAAATTGTCTGAAAATTGTGAAAAAATGTTTTAACAATTTGATCTGAGAATTCGGTTTTTATTGAAGTAAATATGGCAACGTCTGAAGGCTTATACGGCGTTCTTCCTGAGCACGGCAAAATTCCCGTTGACTTACTTTATTTTAGGTTTTATTTTTCAACAAAAATGGGCCTGTTGCATGCAAGAGATACAGCCGTGCGAATAGACTTTGTAGTGGTTAAATGACACGAAAATTGCGATGCTCACATTAAAAAAGTCTGAAATACACTCCTTACTGCGCAATTTGCGTTGTCAGGAACGCGCTTTTTCAAATTTCCCGCGTCTGGGGGCAGTTTTCTAACGGAAACAATTAACGGCAACTCGCGGCTATTTCCGGTCAACTAAAACTGACAACATAACCTAAAAATCGGAGCTCGTAATATCGTGAAATGAAATGTAGGAGGATTGCGTTGGATATTTAAAAGTTGATCGATTTGGTTATTGCATGAAGCGTATATGGACCACTATAAGAGATCACGTTGGGTTTGTAAACAAACCGAAGGAAAAAATAACAACAACAACAACGACTCGACATCCTCCGGAAATCACCGAGCCCACCGTTTGCTCGTTTCCGGTGATTAGAAAACTGCCCCCAGACGCGGGAAATTTGAAAAACTGCGTTCCTAACAACGCAAATTGCGCAGTAAGGAGTGTATTTCAGACTTTTTTGATGTGACCATCGTAATTTTCGTGTCATTTAACCTCTAAAAAGTCTATTCGCGCGGCTGTATCTCTTGCATGCAACAGGTCCATTGAATACCATAGCGCTTTGAAACTCTATGAGGATTCCTCAAGCATTGAAAAGAATACGACTATAAAATATTTCAAATCCAAATGTTCGTGTCTTCTGTAATAAAAATGTTAATTTAAATTAAGGAGAAATAAGGCAACGTCCAATGTAATTAAACTAGTTTTGATTAAAGTAATTCAATTCAAGACAACTTGCGGTATCGCACGACCTGCACCTCTCAGAAACATACCAAATTTTGCAATTTCATACTGCTTTATGCTTACCCATCGTTATAGATATCCAAGTGGCTATAATGTTCCATCTCGTCTCACTTATTCTCCCCCCCCCCTTCAAAATGGCTTAAAATTGTAAAGACCAATTACAATCAAAGGTCACATGTAATAAATGAACAAGTTAGGTCACATTTTTTTTTTTTCATTTCGAAAATATGCTTTTATCGGAACATTGTAACAAACGCTCTTATGACACAAACAAACTGCATGTGTACCAAAGTATCAAAGCGATAAAATATGTTTTTGCATTAACTTTTTTTTGAAAAGTCTACCCTGTGCATGGCGAGGCTCACTAAAAATTCTTACTTTAAAACAAAATAAATCACTTAATTATCTCCATCATCTTTAACATCCTTTAATTTTTGTGACGTAGTATTCATTCTCTTCTACCTTCTTCATTTGGATGAGTGTAACCTAAGTATTATTTGAAACTACTGAAACGTCAAGGTTCGAATTTTTTTTTAGTTCATCCAGTTAGATTAATTCGTTTCTATTTTTTTCATTTGACATTCAGGTGTTATTGTCCTCTCACGTTAAAATGGTTCCATTTCCAGATATCTATAAAGATTTGTCTATGAAATTCAAGAGGAGAAGCCCTGGCCAATCTTTACGGACGTGTTTTGGTTTACTTGCAGTGCTAGCTTTTGCTCTTGAGACTAGTTTTTTGGTCAGAAGCGAGGACGCGGAGTTCTATACCTTGCACTCGGAATTTCCAGAATATGATGGACCACCTAGTTACTTGAACCAGTTATGGGGGATATACAACTTAATCCCTTTTCCACTGAAGAAGGAGCCTGAGCAAATTTTAGAGGTATTTAATTTAGCCTTCACGAAATACTAAGGATCTTTTGTGCAATACAAAGTATCTTAAGGATACGTGGGTTCAAATTCCTAATGAGTATAATTATTAGTTTCATAGAAATATCATCATCATCATATATAATTCCGTAAGCCCGATCCTTCGGATCAAAATTCAGCGGGGACCGCCGGTTATCCCGTTCCTCCCGTTGGGAGATGCTCTTTTTTTCTATATTTCTGGGCGTTTTTATTTCGGTCAGCTGATATAAGTCGGCTGCCCTAGGCGTTTTTCGTCACAAAAATCGCTGTGGAGGATGAATTTACGTCGGAAGCGTACTTACGTAAAATAACTGTATTCACACAATGGGAAGTTCGGAGATCAACTTTTGAACGAAATATAAACGAATCGATGACCAAAGTGCGAGACCACGGATCTCCTTTCGCGATGATGCAGAAGCAGGCTCTCTGTCACACTCAACGTGATTTATATAAAACTATATCTTAATTTTATTTCTAGTTTGACAGAATATTCTTTTATATTTCAAGCTATAAAGTTAGCTTCTTCCTCATTTGAAAAAATTGAAACAAATGAGTAAACGAAAAGCAACGCGGATATCGATCGCTCGAAATCGAGCTTGAGGGATCAAAATCTGAACCCTATATTGACTCCTAACCGTGCTAAGAACTTTTTTCTCGAATAAATCCAACATTTCCGCCCATGGGATAATTTACTTGAGTTAAATTGCAAGTCAAACATCACTATGACAGTTAAGGCCCAGTAGTATGAAAATATGGCAACCCCAATCTTGACGCTCAGTTTAAGCTGTACATTATTTGAACAACACAGTGTGGGAAAGAAACAATGCTCGATTGAGTATAGTCTGCTAAAGCCGTTGTGGTGCGCAATTTGACTCGCGTAGGGGTTTGTTTTTCTAGTGACCGGGCAATTCAAAGTTCCCGTAACCAATGGACAATACAAACATTAATATTTTAGCTAGAAGTTGATTTTAGTAGCTTTCGATACGCGAATCGTATTCTATGTGAAATTTTGGTGAAGAATTATGCATCAGAGTGCTTAAATTCGCACCTTGTTTAATGGTCCATTCAACCAAAAAAGCGAACGTAGAGAACTCTTCTTACTTTTCTTAGAAAAAATATTTTATCGGGAGAAACGAGGCAACGTTGGAATGCTCATACGGCTCATACGGCTCAACACAACATGTGCCTTTAATGCTCCATTGTTCAATTCCGCGATTATTCTAACGCGAGTTCGAATAATCGCGCCGAACACGGTGCGGTCGGCGTTAAACTCATTTCAGCGCCTTCAAGGCTGGATGAATACTTCTCGCATTGCACCAAATGCAATGCGAGAGTTACCTGCGATAACTATTCGACTACGGGTATAGGCACATTGCCCCGAACTGGTTTGAAGGCTCGTCATACTGTGAGGATGACTTGACACTCGACCGCGCTCCTTTCCTTGGCTTGCGCGACTCTAAAATCGTCGCAAAACTAGGACCACGCGTCATTTCTTTTGACGGTCCTTGCTGGGTTTGGACCACAATGAAAGGGGAAATATGTATCTTAGTTGCAACGATCCAGAAACTCGGACGATGTTTAAGCGGTGCACCGATTCTGAAAGTTGATTCGCGTAAAAGTAATTTTGGTTCAATAAAAAGAAAACAGAACGAACGAAAATATCGCGTAGAAATTTGTTGTGATTTTATTTTAGATCATTCCGGAAATTTCTCGGAAACATCTAAAAAAAATTGTACGCAGCTTTTTTTTTTTAAAAAAAAAAATCGATTAAAAATAAAACATGAGTAGATATGTGCGACGTTGCACCGGAGATAAGAACAATTTTTTCTACCTGCAGGCGTCGATATTTGATTTCATTCACGGCAGGTATGACGAGATAACTATTTGACCTCGGGTGTAGGCATATTGCAACTAGAAGGATTAAAAGTGCGTCATACTGCGAAGATGACTCCACCACTTTTCTTTCCCTAATTCGCGCGATTCTCAAGCCACCGTTAAAATAGGATTACGTGTCATCATTCTTGACTAAGTGCTCCAGTTTTTACAATAATCAAAGGGAAAATATGTATTCTCATTGTAACGATTCAGAAACTCTAATGATTTTTAATATTTTTGGTTACATAAAAGAAAATATAACGGACGAAAATATCACGTCGAAATTTTCGATGATTATGATTAAGATCATTTAGGAAACTACAAGGAAACTCCTCAAAAAAACTGCATGTAGCTTTTAAAAAACGGTGTTCCACGATTTCTTACGTGTAGTTTTTTTCAACGGTAGGCGGCCGCGTAACAGCCCCAGACCCCTAGTGATTTATATTATCGTTCAGAAAATGGTGCCAGATAGCACAAAGCACAACGAGGGTTTCTCACACTCCCCCTCCCCCATTTTAACCTAAACATTGCACTTATACATAAAAGCAGCAGTGTGCGTTAGCCTTTCATTCCTTCATTTATACTATTTTATGCTTGGGTATATTATTTAAGAAAGTCAGCGTACACTGCGCACAGCCGTTTGTTCTTTTCATCTTCAAATCTACAATTACGAAACATACGAACACAGGTTTTTGAATTTGACTAAAGCCGTATAAATGAGATTGTTTTTCCATTTTTTACAACCATGATCTTAATACACGTAATTAGGGCGGCACAAGTCAACGATTGAAATTTTTTTAAGAAATGGACGAAAATTCAACTCACTCTCTTCAACGAATCATTCATTCTACAACCATGTCCTATACCTCAATTTTTATTTTAATTTTTTAGATAAATTATTTTGATAAAGAACTGGAAATTGGACGGTTCTGGTTCCCACTAGACCTGCGGTATCCACCTACTCGAGTTGCGTGGCCGAAACAGTACGTTCGTAGTTATTACACACTAATCATGACAGGTAAAAACTCGTAATTTAGGCTAAAATTTGATTCTTCCGCATACTATCTTTTGCACTGTGATAATATCTTGCACGGTATGAGTATACGAGGGCTGAATCAGATTTTTTTGTTTAATTTTTTGGGTGACGACTCAGAGGAACAGCTCTTTAAAGAGGATGTGGCAGACATCCTTCTTAAGCGTAAATTTAAGCTGTTCTTATCACAAAACTGATTTAAATACAATTCAAAGAATGGTAGATACGTCACGTGCTTATTTCATATTAGCTCAAACATTTTTTGGGAGGAAGTTGATAAAGTTCCTGGAGATGAGGGGCTAAAGTCACATCCTTATCACACGTAAAAGTCAACAACGAAGTGCGTCCACGTATAAAGTTTTAAGTCACCAGTCGGCCACTTAAATGTTAACTCACATTATGAACTAACACCATAATTTTACAATAAAAGATTGATTCCTTCTCTTTTCTTACCTATTAGAACCATTGAACATTGATAATCGATTAACGAAATGATGGTTTGGCTGCGAATCGATCTACTCTCCATTTTAGATGGAGTCTCACCTGCAGATTTAATCAATCCTGTCATATTTTTTTTGTCCTCTAATTGTTATGGTTTCACCCAGTGGCATAGCGTGCTTTGCGATTTATCGATTTGAGACCTGTGGAAAAGGATCGATAAACAGGGTATTCGCAACGAACACCTTAATAATCGATTCTGTACCACAGTTTCAAATGGAAAGATGTCGATGATCAATCACTCACGCCTCGGTCGCCTAGCTTTTGATTTCACCAAGAGCAAGGTTCTCTTTGCCAAAAATGAATCTCATGAAATTAAATCCTGTCAAATTAATTTATTGGTACGTAACTTTATTTGATGAAATATACAAACACATTTTTGCATTCAGAAACTCTCGCAAAACTTCACAGTATTAAATCTCCTTCCTCCTCTTCCTCCTCCTCCGCCTCCTCCGCCTCCTCCTTCTCCTCCCTCTCCTCCTTCTTCTCCTCCTTCTCCTCCTCATTCTCCTCCTCCTTCTCCTCCTCCTTCTTCCTCCTCCTTCTTCCTCCTCCTTCTCCTATACTTCTTCTTCTTCTTCCTCAAAAGAAAGAGAACGGAAAAAAATGCTACCCTATACATCTCTATGTACTTTTATAGATTTGGATTATCCAGCAGAGAGAGACAACTCGGAGGCAGAGTACTTACATTGGATGGTTGGAAATATTGAGGGACCACCAGAAAATAGACAAAATGAAACGATTGTCCAGTATATTGGCCCCTACCCAAAACAAGGAACTGGTAGTTACTTATTTTGAATTTTCAGAATGTATTATTTCAGTATAATAGATAACTCGGTCCATTTTACCCGAGTGGCATTGATTTCGATAAGTTGCGATTTGATTGAAGAGTGTACCGCGATTTCATTGACGTCGATTTATTGCAATAATATCCGATAAAAAATAGCGATAATTTGCGATTTCGTCGGATATATTTTTAATGAAATCGCGATTTTATCGAAGGCGATTCATCGCAACTTTATCGAACAAAAAGTCGTGATAAATTGAGATAAAATTGCGATTTGATCAAACGCGATTTTATAGAGATTAAACAGTGACAGGATCGAGGATAATCGCTTAGACGTTAATGATCTTAGCGATTTTGTCGCCAAATAATCGCAACTTCATTTCAAAATATCACGATGTTTCCGTTGAAAAATGGTACTTGGGGAAGGGTTATTCTTTTACCCAAGTGAAGATCAAAAATATATAAATTCTTAAAATCCTACCATCACACAAACATACAGTCAGAAATCCTTGAATAATATTTGTTGTTTTCATTTATACAATTTTTGTTTTTGAGCAGTGGAAAATGCAGTAAAAAGGAAACATGCTAGACAAAGACATACAGTGTCTAATCAAAATTTAACCGGGTGGGTTAAAATATTAATGAAATGAGTAGGATTACATATTTCTATGATCAATGATCGCCCGTCTTGCTGTCATCAACATCCTTTCAAAGTTTTTCCTCCTACTTTCCATGTATATTTTATTTTTTATTAGTTGAATTTCCGTTTCCAGGTTTACATAGATACGTGTTCTATTTGTTTAGACAACCGAAGAAGATTAAATGGCCGTATGATCCTATATTAAGTACATTGTAAGTTTTCATTTAGTTTTATTATTCTTTCCAATCAGTCGTTTATTTATTTATTTATTTTTGGCGCGTATACGTAGTATACCGCCTTTGCGATCGTTTCGAACCCTGCTCGATACAATAACCGAGTCCTTTAGTTCCTTACCGAAAAGTGACTACCGCGAACTTCTGAGATTTTCCAAAGCGTGTAAAAAGTTTANTCCTGTATGCCTAAATTAAACAATTTAGAAATTAGGCATTCTATAAAAATTATTTGTTAGTCTGGATTCCATGAAATTTAACACTAAATTTTTAAAGTCTCTTAGAAGGATGATTACCCAAACTAGTAACTCACCTGAATGCTCCCCTGTATTGGAATTGTTTTTGTGAGCTTATATGAGGCTTCAAAGTCCGAAGTAGAAATGCAAAAAGAGAGCAAAAGAAGCAGAAATGTCTTCTCTTTTCGCAGTATGCAACACTCCCAGTTACTGGTTCACCGAACCGCTTGGTCGCTTTCAAACGACGTTCCAACTAACATAATGTTGAATTTGCTCATCAAAAAACGAATTAAAATTTAAATTATTTAGATGCGTCAGTATTCTCTCTCCAATCCCGGAGAAAAAAACAAATCTCCAACGAAATCTCGAAAATCAATATTTTTGTTTTGTTTCAGCCGTAATGAGTCACGGAGGCGTAGATTTTCGACCCGCAGATTTGCTAGCAAGCACAAGCTTGGAATGCCAGAGGCTTTCACTTTCTTCCTTGGTCAATTTTGGCACCAAAATACAACCGTAACGGACTTACCGTCCGTAGGTGATAAAGCTACCTGAATTCGTTTCATTAAGTCTAAATTCAAAAGAAAGGACTGCAGTGTAGGTGATAAAAGTGAAAAGATGCAACCAAATAATAAGTTTTTTTTTTTAAAACTGAAAATATGTTTATCTACTCATATATTTTAAAGAAGGGTTGATCGGGCAAATAGCCGTATAACTGTACAAAAATCCCAGAGACATCCACTATAATTATAATTAATCATGAATACCTATATCAAGAAAATTCCCGTGTACGTGTGAAATCTTTGGATACATTTTCACGTGGGTATAAACTGCACATCCAACAAAAACAGATGACAAAAGGTTTATTAAAAGGTCTCGCCGTGACTTAATGCGAGCAGCAAGGGTCGGCGAGTCTTCAGTATGTCTCACCTTTGACTTTCTGTTTTCGGTTTGGAGCAAAGTTTAGACTCATAATAGGGCTTTTCAGATCTCGATGAAAGTCATCCTGCCTCAAAATGTTCGACTTCAAATATTAGGCCAAACATTTAAAAACAGTGAAGTTCATCATTTATTCTCTCTAGTGCTAGCATATACTAAAATGAACATTGATGTGTGAGGTCTCTAAATTCATAAAGTACTCGGATTATATTTATTGTACATGAACATTTTATATAAAGGATGAAATTACTAAACAGATAAAATCCATAAGTACTATTAGCCATCAATTTACCACTTTGTGAACAATGTAGCATCTATTAGTAAGTAATTAAAATACACACGATAATGCCGTATTAATTAAATTAAAACACAGTAAATAAACAGAAATTGAGTTTTTTCACAGATGGACTTATCTCTCGTGTATGTGCATCCAATTTTAACCCTCTTTTGATGATTTAACGTACTTTACGCATAATGAGCAGTAAGCCACAATTACGAATCCACTGAAAAAAGAGTGCTTGGCTTTTAAGCATGATGATTCTTGAGATTGCAGCTAAGAGTTGTTTTCCTACTTATTCAAGCTGAATTTTTCCATGAATAAGACAAAACGTGCTTGGTTTAATGAAACAGTGGCTTAAATTAAGCAGCATCATTCTTGATTCCAGGAAAAAAATACCTTGGCGGAAAATTTAAGATTTTTTTTCAGTGTCGAGGTATATAGTCAGCAGTTACAACATACTCGTATATACAGGCGGCCTAAGCATGAAACTAGCGGGTTTGTAGTGAATTATTAGAAAGGGGCCAAACTTGAACCCCAAATTCTGGCATAAGGACCTCTTCCAGGGCCCGCTACGGCAATTGTGAAGGGTAATTGCCTACCCGCTTCTTGAGGCTTTCCATCTTTGGGTGGAACGTACTCTTTGGCTTGAAAGAAATTAATAGCCCAAGGATCACCTAGTCCGTACTCCTTTGAAAACTGGCGATTTGAAAAGTGTCCTCTCCTGAGGTCATTGTGCCTAAAATAAAACAATGATATTTTTGATGAACCATTAAAAGCTTTAATGAACTAGCAATGATATAGTTTGTAATGAATTAACACCCAAAAATTAAATAAAGAAATGCATGAAACCATCCATAGACTTTAAAATTAAAATAATTGCCCTGGCTTAGCTGAAAAATGTTAATTTATTAACTATAATATAAGATAATATTAGAATTTTGTTTTAGAATTGTGTTCTTCAAACGAAAGTCACTGCTAGAGATGAAATGCTTTTTTGTTCCTTTTACTACTCTCTAAATATATTTTTTATATTAACTATCCTTCATTTTTTTTTGAGAGACTAAATTTTACGCGTTCACCAGTGGCAGCTTAACTGTAACATCGGTTGTTTAGTTTCTCTCGTATTTTATTTTTATTTAAAAAGGACCGGACTGCAAACCTTGAAATATTTCGTGAGTTTTCTTTGCACTTTGATCATTATTCTCGTAGAATTAAGACGTAATTTTTGTTTAGTTATTGATGAAAATAATGAAAAAAGAACACAAATTAGGGAACGTGTTATGTAGTAAGACTGACTCTAGTTAAATTGGTCCGATTCACAATAGACCAGCGGTATAAGCACTCTCATTTTGCACAAGGAGACAATTTTAAACCATCGACTTACTTTGTTTCATTAATCAGCTTCAAACCAGTAAAATTTAGCTTCTCCGGTTGCTTGTATACAATGAACACGTATCTGTGTATCCCTGTGCAAAGGTAGAGCAAAATCAGTCAATTTTTGTACAAGTGGTCGTGGAAACTCGCAGAATTAAGGTGATTCGATGGACGCCATATTTTGTGTCAGAACGGCATGCGATATATCGCATCACTTAGTTCCATTTTTTCAGCTACTCGTCGTTTTTCTCCAATTTTGAGATCGCAATTTTGTTGTCCGGAGACTGAAGCACTCACTTACCAATTTTAACAAATAATCTCAACGTAATAAAGGTTTTTTCAGAGAGAAAATATCGCATTCGATACTGATATCGAAACTGCACTCGAACGCGATATTTTCTCTCTTAAAAAACCACGCCTTTATTACGTTGAATTTCCTTGTTAAAATTGGTAAGTGAGTGCTTCAGTCTCCGGACAACAGAATTGCGATCTCAAAATTGGAGAAAAATGACAAGTAGCTGAAAAAATGGAACCAATGGATGCGATATATCGCATGCCTTTCTGACAAATCTGAAGTAGTTAGTACTCTCATTTTTATGAGATTTTTGCTCTCCGACAACGCAAAAGGTGATGAAGATCCATGAAAGGAACAGTTGAGTTACTCTATAGTGTCTCAGCTGTCCCTGTTGAGGATCAGTTAAGCTCACTTAGAAAAATTTTATGGGGGTATGTGGACATGTAAAATGATTTTTGACAAAGAAATGAGTATCTGCTGGAGAAAATAACAATTTAATCCACTAACATCTTTCCCTAGGCGGATTCAAGCAGGGGGGCATAGGGGGCGTTCGCTTTCCCGTTCGACCGAAAAAAAGGGGTAAGAAAAAGGGAAGAAAGAAAGAAAGAAAGAAAGAAGGTATGAAGCTCATATTTGGTGATTATTCACGGCGAAATTGCGGCTGAAACTGCATATAAATGTTCTCGAATTTCAAACATTTTCTGAAGGAAGTCCTCTGGACCCCCTTCCGCCCCACTCCATTCGAAGTATCTAGATCCGCCTATTGGAAAAGCTGCTTCAAAATGCAGAAGATATCATACAAAAAAACAAGTAGTAGTAGTAAAATAATTTTATTTTAAAGCGGTGCTTTAGCATCTAAGGCCATTTACACATCTAAAGAGGCCCACATAGCACAGAATATTGATATAATACTACAATAGTACTGACACGTCAGTAGTGTCAGTATTTATATAATGCTGATGTATCCTGATTTAATATTATATCAAGACATTGCCAGGATTTATTAGTTACTGATTTGGAGCTGTCAAAATATTGTTACAGTATTGGCCGAAAAGGTTGATTTCATTTGGAAATCAGGGTTATGACAAGGTCATCAGAACACTGCAGGCCACCGACAATATGTATGCGTTACTACTTTGACACTGACACGTCTGTACACTCAGCGCACTCTGTCAAGTAGATATGAAAGTTCAGACGATGACCGTCATTTTCATGGTACTACACATGTATTACATTTGAAACATGAATTACACAAGTATACAAGTATTGAATATTATGAACCACCTACTTGATGTCCTGCGACGTTTAGTAGCGTAAAATACCCGGACGCCCTCGGGTGGATTTGAACCCGAACCGCGGAATTCCTAGCCCAGTACTCTGCCATTGAGCCACAGGGAGCTGATGGTGTTTCGGGTTAAAATCACGCCTGTTAA